ATCCCTCACCTCTCCAGGAATTTCCCACCTGGAGCTGGCAACCCTATCTCCTTCTCAGCCAACCATCAACCTACCTTTATTTCCCCCTCGCTCTTCAGCTTTCCACCCCCCACATACCTGCAGCCTCTCCCGTGCTCTGAAGCCCTGACTGCTACGTCACACTGGCTGTCATACAGGGGCCACCTCAGCAGCATATAAGGATACAGAGCCCACCATTTTCTCTAGGGGAACTGATCTCTGCCATCTGGAAAGCAGTTGTAATTCTGAGGGATCTCCAGCCCTCACCTGAAGATTGAACACATTTTACCTCAGAACAGAAAACTGTTTAGAATGTTAGAGGCACAAGCCAATCAAGTCGCATATGCAAACGACCTCTGTGTTCCGAGGCAAAGGCCAATGAGACTGCATATGCAAATAACCTCTGTGTTCTGACTGGCTATGGGGGGAGAGGAACAGCAAAATGTTTAGAATGTTGGAGGCAGGACTCAGGCAAAGCAGCCAGTGGATAGGGAGACCCTCTGAATGACAGATCAGAGAGCGAACTGATTTTGGAGTGTGTGGAATGTTCTAGAGAAGTGCCACCACCATTCGTTTTTTATTTATAAGGGAGATGCATACTAAAGTACATGTATTTATGTATTCATTTGTACCCTGCCTTTCTCCCCAATGACAACCGAAAGAGGCTGACATAATTTTCCTCTCCTCCATTTTATCTTCACGACAACCCTGTGAAGTAGGTTAGGCTGAGAGACTTGACTGCCCTTGTTTTGCCAACTCCAGGTTTGGAAATACCTGGAGATTTGAGGGTGGAGAGTGGAGTTTAGGGAGGGGAGGGACTTTGGTAGGTTATAATGCTATGCATTCTACCTTCCAAAGCATCCATTTTCTCCAGAAGAAGTGGAATAAATGTTTTAAATAAATAATTAATTTAAAGTGATTTATGTAGTTGGGAGATCAGTTGTAATTCCAGGAGATCTCCAGCCCACACCTGGAGATTAGCAACTCCAGACTGGCCCAAGGTCACCCAGAAAGCTTCCATGGTATTTGGGGATTTGAACCTGGATTTTCCAGATACTAGTCCAACACTGTTAACCACTACACCACACTGCCTGTCAAATAATGAGTAAAAAATAAGACTATTTAATTCCTTAGGTGGGATCATAACTCCATTTACAGAATGCATATTAATTGTTGTTATACTTGATTTGCTATCACTGAATACATGAATTCTGAGTCCACTCAATCTTTCCCAATTTTGCTCCTTGCTGCAGTTGTCATCCCAGTGGCCCCCCACTCCTCAGGTCTCCAGCTTAGCCATTTTGTGCAAAGGGAACCCCTGTTTCACTAGTAGAGAAGCTGCTTGGTGCCAACCCACGGTGCTCTGGTTTTTGTGATCACTGTGCTTATCATGCATTTGTGAGTTTTACAAAGAGATGTATCAACTATGTTCTTGTATTTCATGATGTTTCAGCCACACAGTTCATCATTTTCCCATCCACATCTGTGTGTAACTATCTGTTGAAGTAGAAAAGAGTAAGGGTCCAGTAGCGCCTTAAAGACTAACAAAATTTGTGGTAGGGTATGAGCTGTCATGAGTCACTGCTCAATTCTTCAGATACAGCTAGAATGTGAGTCCATCTGTCCTCTGTATTGGAAAGTGATTTCAGATGGCAAATGACAATAGCAGGTGTGATTGTATTAGGTGTGATATGTGGAGAGGTAGTAGGCATGAAGAAATCAGCATTGGTAATGAGATGGGAAACCTAAGTCTTGATTCAGTCCAGGAGGATACATTGTCTTGAGCTTCATTATCAGTTGCAATTCAGCAGTCTCTCTAATCTCCCTCTGAAATTCCTTTGTAAAATAACTGCTACTTTTAGGTCCACAACTGAATGCCCTGGAAGGTTAAAATGTCCCCCCACTGGTTTTTGAATGTTGTGGTTTCTGAGGTCAGACTTATGTTCATTAATTCTCTGTCGAGGGGACTGGCCTTTTTGTCCAATGTAGAGGGTGGAAGGGCATTGCTGACATGTGAGGACATAAGTCACATTTGAGGATGAACAGGAGTATGAACCTGAGATGTTATGGCTGATGTTGTTGGGTCCACTGATGGTGGTGCTAGGATCTATGTGAGAGCAAAGTTGGCATCTTGGTTTGTTGCAGGCCTTGGTACCATAGTTCAAGTTATTCCTAAGTAGTTTGTCATTGTGGATGAGAAGTTGTTTTAGGTTAGCAGGCTGTCTATAAGCAAAACATGATCGGCCCACAAGTGGGAGAACATTTTAACCTTCCAGGTCATTTAGTTGCTGACCTAAAAGTCCTCAATCCTGCAAAGACAAAATTCATATAAACAAAAGAGGAACATAGATATGCTGGCAGGTGAGGAGTCTGTTAGCTGGCTACCAGCAATTGAATAAGAGCTGACTCAGTTAGTTTTCCCTCTGCTCAAACCTGAGATCAAGTGAAAGAGTTCATGCAGTTGGGCTCTTAGTAGGGATGCTATGTGCCCAGTGATATGTCCCACCTCCCAGCGGTCTTGCCCAATAGCAGCCAGCAGAACAAAGGAGGAAAACATTTAAATCACTGTCAGCGAGGGCATGACATCATATCTCTCTAGGAATCATGAGAATCTTGATGATAAAACCATAGAGCTTTTGGAGATTGCTAGAGAGATGTGATGTCACTTCCAGGTTTTCCCAGAAGTGATGTCACAACATTGCAGATGGTTGTCCCCATGTCCCTGCCCCCCCAACTCCCACTGATTGCCTGGCTGGCAACCCTAGCTCTTAGTCTGAGCATGGTAGCCCAGAGCTGGGTGAAAGATCAAGAGAGTGGGGAAAGGGAAGACCTGTTCTTTGTTAGAGAAAGAACTTGATATTTTGCTTTATGAACTATATTTGTATTGCTACACACAATGGACTGTGCACACACACACGGGCTCAGAGAACTGTACACTTTAAGTCACCTGTTGTGATGCAACACATAGAAGGTGCCTGCACAAGCCTTACACGTGTAAATAGGGTTTCAGTTACACAGTTACCAGCCTAGTGAAAGAAGCACACACCTCCATTATTGTGAGCAGTAAGAAACAATCCTTACATGTAAATAAGGTTTCAGCTACACAGTTGCCCAGCCTGGTGAAGAAGCACAAACCTCCATTATTGTGAGGAGTAAGAAACAACAATTCAGAGACAGCCCCCACTGCAGAATCATTTGTGATCACGTAGGACACATCACTGCTTTGTTCCTGCATTGGTATTTCCTGCCAAGTGGACATTTGGTTCACAAAGAGAATGGCCAGCTTCATCTACACTACAATGAAGGATCCTGACGCCAAGGTTTTCACACCTGCCCAGATACCCTTCTTTGAGTAAGGTATTAGATTTCAATATTGGCCACTCCTGTTAGGTAACCACCCCTCCCTCCATGCAACCAATAGGATTGTTTTTGGGACGGACTAACAGGGAGGTGGGCCAGGAGGTTGGCACAGCTACCACTCACCTCCTGGATCCCCTGATAAAAGAAGAGAACCAGTTACATGGTCTCTCTCTCTCTCCTACTTGATCAACTAGCATCTCCCCCGCAACAACCCCATCTGCTTTTACCCCTCTTAAGTCCCACTTGCTATCCCCAAACCTTGCCTCCACTGCCCACACGTTCTGGCTGGTTCTGGTCGTGTGTGAATTCCCTTAGTTTTCCATTTCTTCCCCTCCATTCTTCATTGGAACAACCAAAGCTGCGAAGACAGATACTAAGTATCGCCCATCATCACCCCCACCTGATAATGCAAATATGCTTATTTTAATACTGTATTTCTAAGGAACTTGATTGAATGTGTGAGTGCATCAGTATTGTTTGTATGAGATTTATATTCTTTAAGTTGTTATTTTAACAACAGCAGCCTCGTTATCCTTCTCTGGTAACCCTTGGTGGGAACAGGACCTTGGTATAGTTGGCAAGGACCC